TACCAGTTATTTTCGGTCAGTGATAGCTTATAATTAATATTTTTTAATACTCAATATTACTATTAATAATCATACACTTATATAAGATTTATTTTAAAATATTTTATTTTTTTAAAACTTTTAAATAAAAGTAACTATGTATAGATACTTTTAAGTTTAAGTACTTTAATTTGATTGCTTCTAAATTATGTCTAATTGTATAGCTTGCTTAATTTGTATAATATTCTTTCTAATATAAAATGAATATTTTAAGATTATATAATAATTTTTTTTTTATAAATATAAATTGATTTTGTTTTTAATTTAAAAATTTCTAAAAGTATTTTTAATAACAAATGATATTTCACATACGTCTTGGATTTAAGCTATATTACAAAAAAATGATAAATTAAATTGGCAAGTGGTAAGAAATAATTATATTTATTGCTATTTTTTATATTTGGATGTTATTATATGAAAATATTTACTTACTTATATAAAAGATATCTAATCTAATTAATAATAATATTTATTCTTATATATTTTTTATTTAGAAAATATCAAATACCTAAAATCTTCATTCAATTAAGATCTATACATCTTTTTCATTTATTTATGTTATTCTACAAAACAATTAGTGCATATTTATATAAAAGTCATAATTTTTACAATTAAAAATTTGTATCAATTGGAATAATCTCATTTTTATTAAAATAAATAAATAAATTATAGATTATAATATTATTGTGAGGGTATAATTCACCTCACCCTTCATCTCAAATTACAAGATGGTATTAATTAAGAGTTTCTTATAATTAGTAGTATGAAGTAGAGGAAGCAATAAATAAGAAAAAAAAAAAAAAAAAAAAAAAAAACAAGTGAAATAAGTGCAATCAAGAAATTTCACACTACAAAACTGGTCACAATTTATTCACTAGATTTTTACCTATTAAAAAATATAAATATAATAAATAAATTTTTATGTAGATAATTTTTTTATCTTTTTAATGATAGAACTAAGATGTAAATCGAAGTTATTTTGAATAAGTTATGATAGTTTAAACATAGAATATAAGTAATATAAAAATTAAATAAATAATTTTTATCTCAATGATAACTTACTTAAAAGATCAAAAGTTCAATCTTCACCAAGACTCACAAGTAATATATATGAGTATCCTAGAAGGGCCATAGGGCCTTAATCCATGCCATAATCCATATAGGACTTGTGCACCTCCCTTTTTATAAAGACTATACTACTTGTTGGTCTTTTTATTTTCTATTAGTAAAACTAATATTTTGTAGCTTTGACTCCACCATGGTGTTTAAAAACATCTGATTAGCTCTAAAATAGGATTAAGCCTTCAAATCTTGTTCTAATTCTTTATGATGGCTTCCAAGATGGTAAAACTCATTTTTATCAAAGTCATATAAATTGCTCTAAAACTTCTTGTAAATTCTAAATAAATTCTAAATAAAATTTAAAAATATTTTTAGTATTTCGATTATACTAATATTAATTTAAGTCTAAAATTTTATCTTTAATATTTTTTATAGTTATAAATTTAATTTAAATCAACTAAAAATCTTATTTCTATATAGATAACTAAAAAGATATGAGGTTCTTTCTCATGCCTCTTTTAAGTAAAAGATAATATTTACAATATTATTTATAAGTTATATGTATAGATAAAAGGCTCATGTAGATATTGGTATTAATAAACCTTATTTAATTTATTTTGAATGATATGAAATGTAGAAAGAAACCAAAGTATTCAAATTAAGAAACTTAATTTATATGAAGATTAAAAATTATATATATATATATATATATATATATATATATAATTATTGATTTAAATTTTAAATTTTTAAATAATAACCATAATTAGATCTATTTACAAAAAATCTTAAGAATATTAAATGGCCAATGCAAATATCTTTATGAAAGAAAAATATCCACTTAAAGTTGGTAATAAGATATATTTACATTATTATATTTAGCTTCATAATAAATTAAATCATCAAAGACTTTAAATTTTTATTATAAAAAAAATAATAATTCTAATTTTATATTGGTTGTAATTATAAAAATTATTAAAGATTCATTGTATTATTTAAGTATTTTTTTAACTCTTATAATATGATTAATATAGTAAAAAAGAAGCAGTTATTAACACTTCTGTTAAAATAAATATTCATCAAGATTTTGATATAAAATTAGATTTAGATATAAGATAAATTTGTAAAAAATTGAAATATCTAATACTTTGGCATAATTATAATATTAATGAGTATAAATAGAAATTATTTATAAATCTTTTAGATGGATGAGAATTAATTTATATTTTTAATAATACTTATTTAAACCAAGCTAACCAACAATAAGGTAATATAAACTAAATTAAATAAGATTAAGAATCAAATCTTTATTACATCTATTTTAAAATATCTTTATAATATTTTCTTAAGTGGAATTAAGAACTAACAATCTATATATATATATATATATATATATATATATATATATATATATATATATAATTATCACTTAAAAAATTAATAATTAATCCACTTGAGTTATATTAATTTTTATGGCATCAAAATTGAGATGATGATCTTTACAAAAGATATATTCTTCCTCAAATTAAGGGAATAACATAACATATGTGATACAAAATTCTTAAAAAAAAGTTTTAGTATTCAATTGTATTATTAATATTAATAGTATTGTATTTGATATCATTTTAAATATATCATTTAAAAATATGTATGAAGTATTTAAAAATACTAAAATAATTTCATATGTTTTTTTAAGTATCTATCATTAGAACTTAATCAATATACGTATAAATTATTTTTGTAGAAAATATAAATTAAAGTTTGTAATAATTATTATTTGACATATCTTAGACTTCAATAATTTATGCAAGAATTTTACCATTCTTTATAATATTTATATTTAGAAAGAAAATAATATAATAGATGTCTATGTTACTTAAATAAATAAAAATAAATAAAAATAAATAGAAACATGTTTGATAGATACATCTTCTTTAAGAAATATTGAAAAAGCTTCTTAAATATAAATAATATCTCTCTCTATCTCTCTCTCTCTCTCTCTCTCTCTCTCTTTCTCTCTGTATATATATATATATATATATATATATACATATTGGATATAAAGATTTAATTTATAAGAATTTTATTGCTATAAAAATGACTTACAATTTAGATGCTTGGCTGATAAAAAGTTATCATAGATATCTATAATTACTAGTAAAATTACTAGGTTAAATAATAGATTTAGATAGAAGTAAGTTAAATTGTCAATATCTTATTGAAAAGCTTCTAAGAAGCTTTATAAATGTAGATTTGACCATATATATGTTTGAAGGTGATTGGTAGTTTAGAAACTTAGCCAATAAGTTGACCACATATTCTATATATTGACTACTTATTATAGATGTTGGCTAAGTGGCACACATGTCAAAAAATTATCTTACAAATTAGACATAAGTTTAGCAAGTTTGATACATGCTATTTAACTTATATGGCATTGCCATATGATTCTTTAATAGATAATATATATTAAGACAAGATTGAGGCATTCAACACTCTTGTCAATTCCTTTCTTGCTTTTCATCTAATTTCAAGGGTCTTTAGTCTTCTTGTTTTTGGCAATAGCTATTTCAATTTATTCTTGAATCTACATACTTATTTATTTATTTATTGTCATCTCTCTTTGACATACATCTCACTTATTTATATTCTTTGAATTGTTTTCCTTGGTAGTCATGTGGTCTTCAAGAAGCTTTCAATGGCTTTTTTGTTGGTAGATATAGAGTTAAAACCAAGGTTATTTTTATTCTTGATAATATATTTTCTTTTATTCTTGATTTAAAATTATTTATTTATTTTTATGTATAGCAACAACTATTCTAATTTTTTTCTAACTTATAGTCATATTTTATTTTTTTATTTTTTCTTTGTTCCTTCTTAAATTATACATAAATATATTATATGATAAGTTTGTCCACTTTCTTTACCTTCAACTTTTAGAAATTTATAATTTCTTACTAACAACTTAAAACAAAGTGCAATTTGGCACTTTAAACTTTTTTTTTGCCATGTCCTTTCAGGTTTGGTTTATATAATATTTAATTGTTATTTTTATTTGATTGCTAATGGTTTTAGATACTATTATAAAAAACCTCACATGTTTTGTTAGTATCATGGATGTTCATAGAAAGGATACATAAGAATATATACATGTGATTGTATGTTCATTGTAAAGTTTAATTTAATCTAAATAAAATGAAGTCTTATCTATGGATATTGTTTGTGGATCTTATCTATGTATTTTGAAATAATATAGTTTTTTCTAATATATAATTAAAATGTTAACAATATCATAAATGAAATTTTATTTTAAATTGATGGTCACAATATTTCCATCATCTACAATTGCTCAAGGCATTGCAAGCTTCTAATCCCATGTACACCATGTCTTTTTTTGAACTTGAATCTTCTGCTTTTTTCCAATATGGTGCCCTTTATTGTATTACTTCTAGAAGACAATAACAGGGTTGAATCAAAGACTGCTAGAGACTATAATATCATGTTCTGGTTGTGAACATATGACCTGTCACCACAACCAAATATCACAAAATCTTATCTTCAATATGGATATGAGCTGTAATTGCCCATATGTAGGGGAAGCCAATAATGTTTTGTAAATGGTCCAGAATGAATCAGACAATGTTATTGAAGTACATTCAGTATGACATTATGTGAAAGGAGCCACCAGAAGATCATGGCGTTTGTCCTCCAAGAGATCTGTGAGCAAATTGGACACGTTTATTAAACTATTGACTGTCCTGTTTGTAAACCCTCTTCCCCTTCCAAGTTTTGCCCCTGAAGATAAAATTCCTTCAAAATTGAAGAGAACTCTTTAGGCTTTTCAACATGAGGGATATGGCCACAGTCTTTGATAAACTTCAGACTTGCCTTGGGTAGATCAGCAACAAATTTCTGCATGACAGCCATACCACAGGATTACTTCAATTCTTCAAGTGACTGACTGAATTCAAAACATATGTGTCGCCAAAACAATTCCCATTTTAAAAAGTTAAGATGCACTCACTTCAGCAAAAGTTTTGGGCACAATTGTGTCCCTCTCTCCCCATATAATAAGAGTCTCTTGTTGAACCTGCACAATAACCACACATTCAAAGAGTTATTTGAATAGATCCTAACAATCAAGCATCTGATAGCACATTGATGTAATATTGATTAGTAGAATAGCAACACATATTGGGGGTAGTTTATTCTGATGATATGTGACTGCAGAAAAGGAGAGGTATGTATGTGATATCTAAATGATAATGGGAGTATCGAGACAGGGATGACCCTCGAGAAGTAGTAATTGATAAAAAATTGTTAAAAAAACCAACATTGTAAATACAAAATTGCACCATTTAGTGCGTCATACTTTGGCTCAGAAAGAATGGATTCTAAAGTTAGAAGGAAGAGAACCCAATGCTATTCATGTTCTAACCTGAGGTATGGACGCAGTGACGTTATAGCCTCCACTCATCATGAAACTTACAGTTGCATCCGCCCACCCAGGCATTAAGCAATGCAATCTCCCTACCTGTTTCAAAGTTGCGTTCCGTGTTAAAATTGGAGTATCATTCAAGAATAGAACCCTTTAACTTTCGAAACACTTAATTACTTGGCTCACAAACTATTCCAACTCGCTTTAAGTTAGCAGGAATAGAATCCAAAAAACTTACTCTCATCGAATCAAGCAAAAAATCAAAGGAGGCTTTTGTAAATATCAGTGTATTAGCATAAAGTCGCAAAGGTACACTTTTTAAAAACGCCACCTGTCCACAAATCATACCCACCGTTAGTAAATTTGAAAGGCCTGCAACTGGTCAAGTTGTCTCCTCACTCTGTTTCACGAAAAACTCTATCTTAACAATGCAGGCAGATAAGGAGAAAGGAAAGTTCTTGCCATGTCATCCAGTTGAAAGGGTGAGAGAAAGAGGTATGCAGCAGCTGGACTATGACAAAAGTAGATGTTTCATATATTATGTAGTAGACTGATTGCATACCCCCATGTATGCAAGAAGCTTTGGCAGAGTTGCCATTTCCCCCACGCCCTCAGTGTAGCCTTGTGCATCAACGAGCACCAGCTTTGCAACCTACAGTATATGAAGTGCCTGAATCAGACTAACTACTTCCTAGAAAGGTTAGGAATTAACAAATGTTGCAAGTCTCATGCATATTAGAAACGAATGAGGACAAAGAGGAATGAAAGGTCACGTACAGCTTCAGGATGTGTAACAGCGAAATCAATGGCAGCGGCTCCTCCTAAACTAGGACCCACAAGTATCATGGGCTTCTTGACATAATTTTTCCAAAACTGAAAAATAAAAATGAAAATAAAAAGCTTAATCAACTATTAAAAATGTTAAAAATCCAAAACAACAATGGCGACACTTTGCAAGCAGAAGGCAATCACAAACCCCTGCATTGAAAAGGATGCCTAAAATTTACAGTAGTATCACCCCTTCCTGTGATTTGTGAGTCATGATCTCAAAGAGCAAGCTCGGCCACAAGTTTTCTTTGAAAGACGAAATCATTGCTTAGATTACCTCATACATATGCTCCCGTTTAGCTGCAACATTGTAAGACTTAACCCCCTCTGCGATCAAACACAAAACCAAAATGTGAATAACACGGAAGAGGGCTGTAATAATCCCCTAACAACGTCTAACGCGTTAATGTCAATCATGGTGGATGAGCACAAAGGTTGTACCGGCATTTGAGAAACCCCAGCCGAGAATGTCCATTGCCCAAGTCTCCACTCCTGCATCTTCTAATACGGGATAAGAATGACGCCATTCAAGTAATGAACTGCTCACATGAACACCATTCCCAAACAGTTAAAAAATTTAAACATTAATTCAGAACTCCACTAGCCCTTGAAGACATCCCTGGTTTTAACCTTTGCAAAGTTGCGAGAAAAATTAACAGAACCTGAAAGCTACAGAACTTTGACCTGTCAAAACCGTGGAGAAGCATAACTGCTACTGAACTCGTCGTTTTCTTGGGAATCACACAGCTGGTCATAATTGGATTTGGTGTAAGGCTGGTCTGATACACTCATCTACCACAATTCAGTGCACAGTTTGACAATTGCGTGAAGATGAGCTGAATTGAAAATCAAAATGTATGCTCACGTACCTGGACAGGAACATGCTGAATCCTAGCAGCCATTTCCCGTGCCACAGGCTCACGTAAGAGTTCCACATCGGGCGGCAGGAAGGTAGGAAACGTCAGTACAGGCAAGTCAGTGGTCACAGCCTGTATCAAAAGCATCACAAGAAAATTAGAGTTGCACTTCAAGACCTTCGATATTCTCACCAAAAGAACCCGCTTATGCTATCGTAGATTTTTTTAAAAAAAAACACAACATAAAAGGGGCTTGCAGATTAAATGAGAAGAATACCTTTATCTGTGAAACCTTCCAGCTCCTCCCATATGTTTGATGGTCTCTTATCGATTGACGATTGAAATTTGAAAGACCGAATGAGATCACATCACCCTTGAAGGAAGAATGAAACTTAAGAATGTTTGCAGAAGTTACTTTTGTCCTTTGAGTGAAATTCGGTTGTGTGCTTCCATCGGAAACTCTTCCAGAACTGCACAAAGATCTAAATTATACAACACATCTGCTCGTTAGAATTTCCAGAAAGCGATAAAAGGGGACGATCTCTGGTGCCGCCCCCACATTGGCCTATTACAAAATTCACTTCCAAGAAATGAAGGATAGGGGAATACGGTTCGAATGCAAACGAGGAGAAACTCTTCTGGTACACGGAATCCGTGTCACTATACCTGCATCCCGGTAATACCAGAATTGTGTTGGCAGCCATTTGAAACGGAGCTTCTCACGTCCTCCTTGTCATGACCATCGACTCATTCCAAACTGCTGCCAATTGGGAAACTCAGCACTGAGGTACTTCAAGAATAAACTAGAGGAATCTATTATAGAATAACGTTTACATGCAGCATTACCGCAACAGGAGGAACATGAAACCCAGAGGAAAATTCGAAACCAGCTTGAACAGGAAAATTGCAGACACCAAATACCAAAACCAAACTCTGTAGAATGAACTCAGTAGCAGCAGCAAGTTTTAATGCAAGATGTTCCCCAAAAATACTCACAAGCAACCAATAGCTACCAGGGAATTCCGTGGCGGTTGGGTACAACAAATGAAGCAAATCAGATAAACAGGATTCAGGGTTCCTGAACGAGCACCAGACTAGAGTGATGAATGGTGGACAATGCATGCCGGGGAAGACTTCCATACCCGGCCAATAACTATGTTGTGGTTTGATCATTCAACCTCCTGCGGATATGAACACAGGCTTGGTCAACGAATGGATTTTCCTATTCGTTAGTGCACACAGTAACTAACGCCGAGGTTTTAGAGGCAAGAAGGCAGCCCAGTCGAAGAGGGTTCTACTTCGATTTATAGGGCGCTGCTGCCGGTTGGGAAGAATTTAGACATTGTAGGTACAGTAGTTGGGTTGGACTAGTTTGGTGGGTATAGGAGGAGCTGATGACCATAACTGGGGGAATAGCCGAGGCGGATGCTGCCTCGGCGACCATGGAAGTGGAGGCATACAAGCGACTCTACCCACTGCAATTCTACGAGCGTCATCTGGATTCGGATGTTCGCCCTGATGGTCGTCCGTTAACGCGTGCTCGGCCTACCTCTGTCAATCTCGGTATGTAACTTAAGGTTTACGTTTTTGGAATATGCTTGTAGTGGCGGAAGAGTGAGTTTATTGATTCTTCATTGATTTTGTGGTTATGGCATTTCCTTCTTCTCAACCTGAGTTGATGAAACGAATAATTGTCATTTAGAGGTGTTATGTCTTGAGTTGCAGGCTCTATCGCAACTGCAGATGGCTCTGCGTTGGTTAAGATCGGCAACACGGTAAGTCAATACTGCTCATGATGATTACGAAGATTAGGGTTTGGAAAGTGAAATGGGTTGTCATTGTTTTGGAATAGCTATCTTATTGCAATTAGGGTATTTTTATGGTGTGTAGACAATGTTGGCAGGAGTTAAGCTGGAGGTGATAACTCCTTCTACTGCATCGCCGAATCAAGGCCAAGTTGGTAAGCCTCTCAATCATATACTTTTATGTGATCGTCTTATGTCGAATAAATGCCAACCAGTTTTAAGAAAAAAAATTGCATGATATGGTCGTGTTGTTAGCTTGATTGGCTAAGGTGTTCATTTGATGGAAGTAACTGGAAATCATGCAGCGGTGGACTTTCAGATGCCAAGCATCTGCTCTCCTCTTGTGAGGCCTGGAAGACCTGCTGAAGCTGCATGGGTTGTGTCCGAGCAGCTTTCAAACGCCCTTGTTAGGTCAGATTTCCTAATTCCTTGGTGGTTCTCAAAACACTCTGCACCAAACTAAAGTGGTTGACTAACTCGCGATTGTAGATAGGATTGCATGCTTTGTGTACTGCGACTATCTACAGTCCACTGTTGTTGTAGACTGGAAACGTTGATTCGTAGTTTGAACTTCGTATTTTCTCTTCACTAGTTCTACCTACCTGAAGAGCATCTGAGGGTTAGTGTGAGGAGTTAAAGTAGGTATGAGTCCACATTGCCGCAGTGTTCTTTTCAAATTTTCATGTCTACGTTGGTCTCCTGATAATGAGAGGGTGGGTTGTTTCAGCTCAAACTTTGTCAATCTACAGCAGCTTTGTATTGTGCCTGGGAAGGCTGCATGGATAGCTTACGTGGTAGGTTCTACTTACCTTATGCGAATTTGTTTGGCTTGGATCTCTTACTATATTTTAATTTTTGGGTTCACGAAATTCTCAGTAACATCTCCTTTTTGTTTAATAGGATGTCTACTGTTTAGATGCCGACGGTTCTTTGCTAGATGCTGCACTTCTAGCTGCAGTTGCTGCCTTGACCCACTGTAAGTTTATATCTCTTCATTCACTGTCGTGACTAGCTTCCTTGTTCCCTCTACATGTCCTTCGCTGTGCAAGCTGCTGGTTTATGTGTACTACCTTGCAAATATTTGGTATAAGCGTTTTAGTATCCCTGCCTTACTTTATTATTTATTCTAGTGTGTCAATATGTCTGACCTTCAGTAATATTGATTCTGTTGAGGTTCGTTGGGTTTACACGTACGAAACCTTATAGACCGCATATACCATTAATATCATGGTCGCATCGAATTTCAGTGCAGTTACCAGCCGTAAAGGTCACCGAAACAGGTCGCGTTGTACCACTTAAAAACCATAATGGAGATGCTGGACAGGAAGTTGACAGTATTGCAAAGAAAAACGAGGATCAGATTGTGAAGTCCAGGCAGCGTTTGGAACGGAGTTCCATGCCTATTGCGCTTACATGCGTTAGCCACAGAAAGCATTTGCTTGCGGACCCATCTGCTGAGGAAGAAAGTATTCTGCAAATGTCACTTACTGTAATCATGGATACTTCAGGGAGGTTGATTTCTTTCTATAAGCCTGGGGGTGCTGTTGCCGCTACATCAGCTACTGTCAAGGTTGGTTTCGGAATGCTCACATTTATGTTGCCCACAGGTTGACTTAAAGAGAGGCTTAAAGTCTTAAAAGCATTACTAATATGTGATTTATTCAAACATTGTTGTTATCATCTTGGCAAGTTGCATGTTTTAATCTGTAGATGTTGAGAGGACCGTTCTGAAGGATTTTACTCGTTTTGCGGAAATTTCTACTAGTCTGTCACTAGCGCTTTACGGGTTGTATGCTCGTGGTTATAATTTGGTGCTTTTAAACAAGATCCTCCTATCATCCGATTCACTCCTTAAACTTCGTCATCTGATGCTCGCAGGATTGCATCGAACTCACTAAAAAAAGAGTCGCGGAAGTGAACAGCATATTTGAGGAGGCTTACGAGGAAGCCTGTGGAACCGAGATGATGGTAGAATAGGAGGGCTTTCCTTTCAACTGTTTTAGCAGTGGTTACATTTTTAAGCATATCATTGAAGTTATCTTATGATCTATTTTTAGAAAGATTGCTATTCAATCTGTTCTACACGGTTGTATACAATTAGTGTTCATGAGGTGTTTTCACAGTAGGAGTCTTGCTTTAGGAGTAGCAGCAAAAGGATCTAGGAAGACAGTAGTGCCATTACTGGATCGGTGTATGCCACCGAAGTCTCGGCTTCTACAAGAACTTCGAACAGTAGTATGTCATGAAATCACATCCGTCTGGTTCCGCAGAATAGGCGGCATCAGATTGTATTTCATCAAGCGTACTTTAGTTGCTATCAAGTATCTCCTATAAATCATAGTTTAGGTCTCAGAGGACGATGCTTTAGCCGGATCACTGGGAAAGACCAAATCGTTCTAACAATTTTTGTAGGTAGAAGGTAATGGTGGTCATCCGGTTTTTGACAGAGCACAAATTTATCACCTATTACCCAAAATTTAAGTGCCTGCTTTACTTTTATATCTCGATTATCAATAGAGCAGGATACTAACGAAGTGGAGAGAAAGGGAAGATCCAGCTGTGAGTGTATTCAGCTGAGCTCTATCTCTGTGATTCAAAGTTGGATATCTAGATCAAAGTCTTAATAAAAAAATTGGGAGTCTTTCTGCATGAACTTTAATCGAAGGCAGAAACCGGTACTAAACGGCACGACACTGCACACATGAGAAAGTACCTAGTCCTTCACCACACGCACATCTTCTCACAAGACAGCAATCCTTGTGAGACACCACTGCATCGCTGGTGGTCCCTGCGACGAGGTAGACTACTAGTCACTGGAGATCTGTAGCTGTGCCTTCTCTCTCTCGCACTCTCTCACTCCCTCTCACGCTAGGCCGCGGTAGCACTGATGAGATTGGTCATGATTTGTGTACCATCCTCGTTTCAATTTCAGGGCACTCCAACTAGATTTCAATCTCTTCCAGTCCATTTTGGCGCTCGCTTTGGTCAGACCACCTTCCACTGTCCCCTGCCACCTCTGCTTGTATGGCAGACAGTAATAAATCTGCAGGCTTTGTACTTGTGTTTGTACTTTTGTTGTAAATCTTCCCTATTGCCACTGATCGAGACGTATGAGATCGTTTCCATCTTGTAAATCTACCGCTTTTTTGTTTGACGGCCATACCTGTTGCTGCCCATCACTAACAATGCATTTGAAGAATTCGGGGTGTTGCATTCAAGATGTATTCTGTGATAAGGATGCTCCAATTGTAGTTTTGTTGTGAAGTCGACACAGCCGTCAACATGAACTCCAGGTTACAGTAAGACGTCGATCCATCGTGTGCGAACTCTACTTTTTGGATTTGCATGTCTGTGTATTGAATGGATGTCGCAGCGTGGAACTCATGCGCAATGTATGTCTACAATCCAGACCATCGAGCACCGACAGAGAGCGCGATTCTTACACTTCTTCACCTTCAGCCGGTTGTGTGCATCAGCTGAATCTTGACATGGGAAAAACTGAGGAGACAGGTTGCACACGTTTGCAGCTTTGTGATGGAGGCTACGTGTACTTGAAATCGATTTGGGAGGCAGCTGACTTCTTCATCCTCATTCTTGATGGAGTTCACGCATGGTCGCGCATCGGTGCGCCTCTTGAACTCATAACTTTAGCAAAGTCTTCTCTCCCTTCTACTACGTTTACGCACCAGAATGACCTTGAACTGGAATGAACAAATCAAGCCCAATGATCTCATTTCTATTGAGTGGTTTGTGTGCAAACTAGCAGCTCTCATTCACATGATTTAAAGATCCGCTGGTGTGATTTCAGCAAACGTTTAGTGTAGTTATAGAAGCGGTTCTCTCCTCGGTGTAAAGCTCTCTACTCCAATGCCTTCATGCTTGGTTTTCCTTATTCACTATCTGGTCATTCGGTGCCTCTTCCCGTGCCGTTTTCTTACACTCGCGTTGTGTTTTCCAACGATTCATCGTCCAGTTGAATCCGCTTAAAAAACTCATCTTTTGGCATTTTGTTGCGGTTCTCTTGGTAGTGTATGGCCCTGTATGTGTCGTTCTATCTGTCTTCTGTGTTGGAGCTATGAGCCATCCATGATTATCTACTGTTTGTGATTTCTGTGAAGGTATTGCGGCGTTCCCCACGAAATCGCCCTAGACATTGTTACCATCTGCACACTGCATGGAGCATGTCATCCACACTTTCCCGTAGTTTTGCTTGTGAACAGTTTCATATTTGGAAGTGACTTCAATAGCGAGGAACTGGGATATCAATGAGAGAGACTTTTTGAGATGCGCTCGATCTCGGCTTAGTTGTCAATATCCCACCTCCAATTATTCAATTTCTGCAAGGAAAGACGACGCTGTGCAGGTATGTGCCTTGATTCTGGAAATTGACCGAGTAAAACCTTCATCTATCCCTATGTTTCCTCTAAACATTCTCAATCCTTGTGGTACGAGTGTTCACGAGAATACCTGAATGTTCAACACCTGAAAGTGTTCAGTAACGCAGCTGTCCTGCACGATCGACGACTTATATGAAGGCAAAGCACTCGAGTTTGAACTGTGCTTAGAGAGAGTCTCTGACGTGAGTTCAGCTATTTGTGGTATGCTCAATCACCTCATCGACACAAATGACAAGCTCAGGGTACGGTCCAAAAATTTTAATTTCAGCTCAAATGATGTCGCAACACTGTTACATTGTTTGTGTCTTCTGGAGGATGTGAAATAGAAATATCTACATGATGATGTGAGGAAAATTTATAAAAATAGGTGACGCAAGACTGACGCAACGTTTCTTGAATAGGAAAAACTGGTGAAAGTAGAAAAGACTGAAATCCAAAGGAAGTATGCTGAATTCGCAGAGCCTAAGCCGAGCATAACCTTAAGCATAGCCAGTCCAATTGCTCATCTCCGGCGCCCAGATTCCTCTTTTGGAAAACCCTGTGGTGTTCAGTTAGCAAATCAGCTTCACCGTCTGGATGAAAGAGATTCACTTGTAACAGGAATTCACAGAAACCCAACTACAGCTCATGGTGTGTACCGTGATGCCTTCAAGATCCCAACTCGACAATCGGGCAGACAAGAGTCTGCAGTCGAGATAGGTGAATAACTCACCAAGGAAACTTCTCTGGAACAATTGAAGATCAATTATTCCCCTACTGTTGTTTCCCCAGTGTTTCCTGTGAAACGAGAAGATGAAAATTCCGAAGGAAGTGGGGCCACTCGTCGCTGTAGCCGACGAATCACAGAAAAGAGGGAGACTCGAAAATTTAGTAAAAATATTAGGCAGAAGGTTGTGGTACTTGAAGACTCTCCACCAACAGCTCAAGATGGAGGGAAGCTCAAGATGAAAAGAAGAATCTCTAAGAAAAAACATGCAGCGTTCCCTGCGGTTCAATGTATAGCAGACGTTATGAAGAGCTCAACACAGCTGGGCTATTGGGAAAACCCGCTTGGAGACAAGGGCAACAAGGTTAATTCTCAGGAGCAGCGTCTGACCAAAGGTTCTTTAAGGAGAGATTATATTTCACCGCAGAAGGGTTATGATTCAATACTACAGAGAAAGAGCAGACATTATCCTCTTGACGATTCTTCCAATTCTGATGAGGAGGTTGGTATGGAGGATGGTACCATCGAGACCGATGTGCCAGATGCTGATTATTACCAATTCGACAAGGACCGGACCGAGGTTCATATCAAAATTGATGAGGCATATTCTCAACTTTGCTGCATATTTTGTATCCATGTTCATTTGTGAAGGTCAAGATTTCAAATACTTGTAATAGATTGTTTCGAATAGTACTTAGAAGACGGGTGAATGTACATACACCTGCTCATATATTGCTGTTCTTAGAGTTGCTGTACCCTTCAAGGTTGAAGAAAGGGGCTTTTAATTCTTGTTCATCAGAGGGCTTACACCTGTGATATGTCGTTCAATCCATCGTTTTGTGTTAGATTTGGGCAGTGTATGATCAATTAGATGGAATGCCACGCGCTTGGGCATGCATAAACGAAGTTGACAACGCACCAAAATTTCAAGTAGAGGTGACACGGCTAAAGCCTCATAAACCGTCAGAGGCAGCGAAATTCAAACAGGTAAGAGTCCAACATCCATTCGTACTTCTGCAGAATATACTTGTTGAATTCAGGATCAGAAGCAATCGATTGATTCTTCTTTGCAGCCATCCTCAGAGAGAAGTTCACTGAACTTGTACTCTTCCCTCTATTCCCAAAATCTTACTCTGATTACTAACAACCCTTTCATGTTTCAGTTGACTGGGCACTCTCTCTCATGGGGAGTCTTTGAACTCGGGAGGCCAGCCACCTTGATTGGAATCAACTACTTCTCCCACAAAATGACGGCCGATCGGCTGACACACAGCTGCTGAAGATTTATCCAAGAAAGGGTGAAGTTTGGGCATCACACACAAGAACGAAACCGCTGAAAACCACCTCCTCGAAAACAGGAATCTCTCGGCATAGTTTTAACTTACTCGAGATCTGTGAGGATGTCGAGATAGGAAAGCCAGCTACTGTGCAAAAGCTTGAGAGGCTTGAAGGGTACCGAACTCTATGGTCAGCATTTGATAAACAGGGACAACTTCCTAACAAGAGGCTTTTTCTCTTCTCCCACAGAGTGCCTGCTTACAAAATGCAAGGTCACGAGATGGTAAACATTCCCAAGGGAGTTTGGGACATTGATCCAGCTGGGTTTCCTCAGGAAGCACAAGGTATTGAAAAATTAGTGCCGCAAGCTCACAATTCGGTGAACTGCTTCAACAGAAGGGTGACTATGTCCACCTCAAACCTAACGGCATCAATCATCCTCTCTGTAGCCTTTTTGTCTAGTGCTTGGAAGGATTTTCTACTCACTGGGAGCTCATTATCACTGCTACCTTTTCAAAGGCAGTTAGAGATGGGTGCTGTATTTCAGAATTGAAATGTATATTTTTGGACCCAGTTTCATGGATACTGGAACTGTGTTCTTGGATAGAAGCTCTCAGCACGAAACTTTGGATGGTGCGGTGGGAGTTTTATAGTGCTGCTCAGTTCAATGCGAAGTATATACTTGTTATGTTTCTCAGCAGAACTTAAATCTAATTACTTGCTCAATTCTGCTCTAAATTGAGTTTAAGTGATGGATTGAAATGATTTTTAGTACCCTTCGAGGCTCACTAGTGTTTTTGATTAAACGAAAACATTTAGATACGGTTTTGAGACATCCTTGATCATTCATCTTGAGCTTCTGGTAATGAATGCTGTTACAAACAAGTATCAGGACAATATGAAGCCATTATTAGGGATGTCATAATCATAGGAATGTGTGGCTACCCATTAAAGTTGTGGAAGAAGTCCCAAATCCCCCCCCCCCCCTCCCCATTGTTCTAATATGAATTGTGTTTTCTAAAATGGTGATTTCAACCAGAACTCTTTCCTTCCTATTTCTTTGATTTTTGTAAACTTGTTTCTTTACCTTTTGATCTTCTTCACTGGGTATGACACAAAA